ATGTATTGCCTATATAAAAGAAAAAAACAGATAAAATGTGCGCATGGAAAGGAGAAAAGAGAGAGGAAAAAAAGTGACAGAACAGAAAAACAGCCTAAATTCACTATAAGAAATCGTAGAGACTGTGGCGACACATGAAAAACTCAAGATGTAATTATAAGAAGCCCGCTGTCGAATTCGCCTTGAAATTCTGCATATACCACCTTAGTTTCATAAAGTTTGATCCGGCGCGGAGCTCACACCTAATTTTCTAATGCTTTCCTTTTTTATTATCTCTATCGATGCGTCATCACACAATACCTCTTTCTCTTATTATATCTACAGTATGAAGAATTTTTTTTGTTCTGTATTTTGACGTATATGAAAAAGTAAAGGAAAAAGGACCTTAAAAGCGAAAACTCTATTATTTAATTGCTACAGCCTTATCAAAAGCAGAAAGAAGGTCTTATCGTTCTTATTTATTGTAAATTGAATACGTAATAACAAGAAATGTGGTTTTTTGCTTTTTTCTATTAGACACGATTAGTGTATTTTTTCTCTCGTGTCATAATGATGATAGATTTTCCTTTATGTAGTGCGTCCTTATCGTGATACCTACCTTGCACTGTATTTGTACTATCTTTTGGTATAATTTAATTTCATACAGTTATATTACCACATCCACGAATTAGTTTTATCCTAAGACGCTCTTATTATTGCTTGTTCGTCAATATGGTATCTTTATGTACTCCACGACTTGACATTCCCGGCGCCTTTGATCACACGAACGGAGCAGAACTACGCGGACTAGTAGCAGATTTGATTCAGAAAGATGCCGATTCTCATCATGTTTACTTCAACGACTATGGCTTCCACAATCATCTCGTTCATCAGTTGCTGGCCGACTATAGTCTCGGTGCAGATGAAGAGCGACTCAAGGATATCTATAAAACCGGTAGCGAAAAACAACGGCCGAAAGTGCCAGAGAAAAGTGACTTCGTCTGGAACAGTGAGCACTGCCTCGGTCATGAAGAGTATTACACATCGTACTTCAAGTTTTTTCTGGAACAAATCAAGAGCAAGGGTGCAAAAGCTTGCATTGAAGAATATATCTTCCAAGAGGATGCTACTAATATGTATGCACGTTTTTTGAGCGGCGCTTACCATCCGTTAATTCATACGGGCTATGGCGTAGAATTTGGAATACCGATGCTTGTTGCCGAGGGTCTTGCACAAACCGCTGTTCATGCCAGTCTTGCTGCTCCTCTTTTTTCCGTTACACCACCGACAAACAGTGAAACGCCATCTGATTCTCCTACGACTGCGATTACCATTGCACTATCAACTCTTGACGACCACCGGTTCGACGGTATTGTCAAATGGGAAGACAGTCCAAAGATCAACGCTCTTATTGACCGCAAACCGAATCTGGTGCGAGAGCATGTAGACAAATGGATCGTGTCGGAAACGCTCGATGGACCCACCGGATTGAGAGCTCGTGCGACGGAGCTCCAATCACTCGCTGCAGCAGTTTATGCTGGGCCTCAACGACCAGGAAAACAGATCACTCTCGATTTCTTCCTCATGCATGCCTTGACAAGCTCACTTTTCCTACACAGCTACATCGAGCTGCTCACTCCGCGTTATGGGGCAGCATTGCTACGTGGCAAGTTTGCAGTAGATCTCGCCTATTATGTTTCACGAAATCGACCGTTATTGAACCTCGAACAGTTTAAATCATATCCAGTTAAGTCGTGGAATGAAATTATCTCGAAAGCCATCGCCCACAATGATGAACATGTGCCAAAGGCCATTCGAGGACTAAAACATGCGGCGGCATATGACGCTACAATCCCTGCTGAAACATATCAAGCTATGGCTGCAATGACAATTGATGCAGACGGCAACTGGAATCGGGATGGTATTGGATTCGATGAGGCATGGCAAGACATTCCGAACAGCACAGAAGCGCTGCAGACGTAACTGCAGTTACATAGTGAGCAAAGCCTGCAAATGACAAATATAATTTTGCTTACTCGGTTGTGACATTGAATTTTAATACTGACTACTGCTTTTTACATGCTCTAATCGTATGACAGAAGAACATCTTTACAGAACATATTACAATTATCGATCCGTATAGGCATTTTCCTCCCAGAACACTTTCTGATGATTTTCACTTAATTAAAATAATTCATTTGATTTGTTGTCTCTGTGCCGTGAGGAGGGAGCATTTGTTGTTTTTTATTATGTATAAATTATATAGCTCGCATGGTCTCTAATATTGTAATTCTGTTTAAAAGACAATTTGTTTGTGATTATTCCCTTACTCAGGTTTCTGTGCTTCGCACACGTTCAGACGCTGATTCAAGAGAAAATAAACCCTAGAGTGAATTGGTACGATGATAACTCTGTGTCACTTGTTACTAGCAAATATACTTGAACTTATGCTGCCTTGCCACCGATGAAGACAAAATCTTGTGCATTTTCAATCGATTCATTACCGGTATCGTATAGGACCTTAACATTTAGGATTTACTAATAATTTCGTAAGGAGATCAGAAATGGATACTATTGTCCATCCAAACGAACAGTGGCCTCGGTTGTTTTTTAAATATCTTTTGATAGAAAACAGTAGAAACTTGCAGTCTTCAGCAGTCGAAAAGCGATAGTTTAAGCTATATTTTCACAAGTAGAATCGTCGTTTGAAAACATTGCGAAGATCGATTTTCTACGAGATCTTTGAAAAACCAGCTAAGATTTCTCGAAACCGACATAGTAATCTATCGTTCTTTTTTCGTAGATTGATAGTCCAAAATGTTCTCCACAAAATAGGATCTAACCAAAAGTTTGGTTTTGCTTGGTTCGGGCGCTAAGAATCTTTTTCCCGAAAAAAACCTAGTGAAAACGTATATTAGGTGAAATATTCCATTTTTGCCTCATTTTAAGTGAAATCAAAAAATTCATAACCCGGTCAAGATCCATTCAAATTACCTAAGAATGTCAACATGAAATCTATTATACCTGCTCAATACTATGCACTTCAAGCAAAGCTATGAAATCAACAAAAAATACTCTGGTTTTTGAAAAGGTTTTCTAGAACTCTTTCGAAGTACAAGAATGCCTCTTTTACTGTGCTTAAGAGCCATTGCACGTAAGCCACGACAGCGATGTTTTCAAAACTTTTCCAAAATACAGAGCTCTTGTAGACAAAGCATTTTAATGAATTTTGGTAAAAGGCGCAAATCAAAAAGTTGTATCGTTGCTGAGTGAGATATTGATATTTTACGAAAAGCCCCAAAAAGTGTGGATTTCGCCATCTTGAAAATTTTTCAACTCTTGTAATTCAGTAACAACAGGTTACTTAACCTTGGAGATTTCCCCATAAATGGTAGAGAGTGTGAGCTACAAAACCACGCAACCGCGAGCTCAAACATGCTTTCGTTATTTGATAATAGATAGTGCACGAAAAGCGCAAATTCAGAAAACCCTGAAGCTTGCTGTAGTACCCATTTGAAACAAAGTCGACTGTGGGACTTTCAACCATATTTCCAAATAAATTATATGCCAGAGTATATTTGGTAAAAGTTTGACGGTCTTCGGTGCTTTCGTTTCCAATACCGACGCCTTTAAAGTTGCAGTATTGCCCAAAAATGACCATTTTGGGCGGTTTTTCAGAAATGTTTTTCTTCATGGAAACGACGGCGAAACTTATTGACTATTTACCGGCACATCATCGCACTCACGCAACTGTTACGAAAGTATTAGAATTACACTGCTTTTGCGACGCGTCGCAGAAGGCTGATGGTACGTGCGTTTATTTACGTTGCGTCACTAGCCTGAATTATCGGTGTTTAAACTTCGTCGCCGATGGTTTACCGCTTTCAGTCGATGAAAAATATTTATGGACAGATTCGCAGTGTGTTATTCATTGGCTTCATTCTACGAAGACTTTATCGGTTTTTGTTACGAATCGTATTACTGACATCAAAAAATTTCCGAACGTTAATTACCGTTACGTTTCGACTGATTGTAATCAGCTGATTTGGCCTCGCGCGGCAAGTCAACTACCGAATTATTTACGCTCGATATTTGGTGGCACGGACTGCATTGGTTGGCCGACGGCGATCACGCTTCGCCTTGGATAAGTTTTTTATCGAAGTCCGTCGACGCCACTGTTATTGATCAAATTACGTCCGAAGAAAAGGTTTCAAAAGTATGTTTTGAAACTCCTGTTCTCGCTCCGGAGGTCGCTGGCACAGATCTCGATAGCTTCACTATGCCATTCGAAGTTGATCAAAAAAGGTATTCGTCTTTAACAAAATTTTTACAATCGACGAAAAAAAATGAAAGTGTTTATAAAAGAAATATGAGACAACAGTTTTGTTCCTCAAGTTTTTCTGAGTGTCTGGTGTGAATTTCCCGACAATTCTTTGCGCGGTGCCAGAGATATAAGCTTTGAAACTTTGGAGTAGTCCCTGCTCATAGTCTTTTCAG